GAGACAATTCAATAATACTACTCTCAATTATAGATACAGAGATCTCATAGAGACAGATCCTAAGATCCTAAGCTGTGATACTTTCTGAGTTTCTGGTCAACATATATTGCCTACGTCCATGAGATCTAACAGGTCTACAGCCAGGGGTGAGCCTGGCAGTTTTTGTTTTCATCCCATATGTGTGGAGGTACCCAGAGGGAAAGGAAAAACAATTTTCCTGGGGAGCGTTCTGTCCTTTTCAATGCTGCATTTCATGATGTGTTCAAAAAACTCTCAACTCTAGGAAACAATGCATCACGCTGGTAGAAATTTTAGCAGGTCAGCTACCCTAATTGAAGAGTAATTGGCCCCCAAACAATAATGAACAGCCAGAGGTGGTTTCTTTGAAGGCCTTTGTTTGCAATTGTATCATCTATATCCCATAAAGTAAAATAAATAACCAGCCTTTTTGTGAGACCAATTTTATTTTTATGTTTTGGAAAGTTGAGACAGAGAGTAAGAACTCCATTTATATTGTGTCGATGCAGCTATGTCCTGGAAAATGTGTTTGTGATGGGTATGCCATTTGAAAACCCCCCCACTCACAAACAGTCTCAGCTGACAGCACATATTTCTTTCCCTGGCTAAAGAAGAACCCATGGCAGAAAGATGGTTTTGTTTTCATTTCCAGACTCTGCTTTATGAACTCTTTTTATGATGGCATTACAAGCTGTCTGATTTCTGGGAGAGAAGATAATTCTTTGGGCTTCTCTGAAGTTTTTTAGTTGCATCGTGTCTGGCTGACATTAGCAAGGCTTGGAGAATCAGAGCTGTGGGTAATCATGAGGGCCCATCTGGGACATCAACTAGTTAAGGGCAAGCCTTACAGAAAAGAGATGCTTTGTCTGCTGTGCTCAAGTCCCCACCATGGAAGTGTTGAGAAGGGAATGCCCTGGGTTTTTGTTTTCTTGAGTCTGGTTAACTGGGAAGAGCCCACTCTACACAAAGAGGTTTCTGTTCTTTCATTCATTCCTATGGCAACCACTCACAGCAAGGAGTAAATCTATAGGGAAATATCTAGCAGTTCCTCCAAGAGAACCATGGAGCTCTCTGGGATTTTGCCATCATTGTGAGCTGGAGACAGAAGGGGGAGCGTAGTAGTCTGTCTCCTTAATGAAGCTGTATGTGCCCCAACCAATCTCCCTGCTCCTCAGGGTTAGGTTCTTTTGTAGCAAACATTTTCTGTTTGGAAGATGCTCAAAAAGTATGGATCCTTTCTGACCATTGATGTAATAATCAGCCTCACTCTGCCTCATACCCAGGAAAAGGAGGCAGCATTAGGAAAGTCAGGGATAATGTTTAGAGATCATGCTGCTATCCGCAAATGGCTGGTGGCCCTGGTCCAAGGTGGGACTGGGGCTCTTTCCCCAGATACCTGAGAAGTATATTTCATTGGGATTCTTTTCCATGGTCAGGCAAAGAGCAGCAATGGCTTTTGAGCTTCTGCAAACCCAACCTAGTGGCCATCTTCCAGTTCCTGAGGGTATTTGGGCTGCTTTGTGGAGGTTATACAGCCCTTAGATTGGCCCTGAGTACACTGCTCTAGGAGGCAGAGGGGTACAATTTAGAGCCCTGAATTTGGAGTCAGAGGACATCAGTTCAAATCCCCCCTTTGTGACTTACATCTTGCATGATGTTGGGCAAATAATTTCATCTTTGTGGGCTTCAGTTTCTTCCCAGCGTGGCCCAGTATAGAGAGAGCATTATGTCTTGAGCTGAAGGACCAGGATTTGAATCCAGCTTTACCACTTACTACCTTGTAACATTAGATTTCGGTTAAATTCTCTGGGCCCATTTCCTTATCTGGAAAAGGTCCCTTCTAGCTTTTTATCCACAATCCTATGATCTGTTAAATAAAGGCATTGGATTAGATGATGCCTGAGTCACCTATCAGCTTTCTATCCATGATCCTTTGGAGAGAAGTTTCTTACCAAAGATGTTCCCATCTATTTTCCTGTGGTGACTCATGATTAGTTTCTGTCGAAGAACTTTTTTCTTTGTTGTGAAGTACATCGTGGTCCTCTCCATACAGACTCCCACCAACCTCGACACATGTTTGTATACTCAGGCAATGTCTCAGCCAAATGTGTTTTTCCCAAATAGTTTCATAATGGAATTGGTCCCAGTACACTGTGTGGCTTCTGAAACCCACAAAGTCATTTACACTGAGAGCAAGAGCTCCACATTTTCTTTCCAGGCCCCATTAATCAACTTCCATTCTCCACTTCCTCCTCATGGCTTTAAATTTAACCTATCCATAATGCAGCCTTTTGACAAGAGCTCTCTTATTTACTGCCTGTAAAGTGACTTAACCTCTGAACTTCAGTTCCATCATTGGTAAAATGAGAAGGCTGGACTGGAACAGCCACTAATCCCTTCAAACTCTAGCCCTTTTATCGAAGTTCACTGAGGTATTCACTTCTAGGGCTCTTGAAACCAGCCTGGAGGGTTGATTGCATTGAATTTCAGAGAGGTGATATATTAGAGATGCAGCTCTGTCAGACCTTCTCCAGAGGCCTTATCATCATGGCATCACCTAATACTGAAGACTGATTCTCAGCAAAAGCTAAGGTACTAAATGTAGCTTTTGAACACAAACCAGGTGACACAGTAGATAGAGCACTGGACCTGGAGTCAGAAAGACGTGAGCACAAATCTGGCTGCAGATATGTATTGCTCATATGACCCTGGCCAAATCATCTAACCGATGTCTACCTCATTTTCCTAAACTGTTTTATCACCTGCCTTACAGCATTGTTATGAGGGTCCAAAGATATTATACTTGTAAAGCACTTAGTAGCACATAGTAGATGCTTAATAACTTGTTCATTTCCTAAGTTGCTCAGGAAAAGGGAAATAGATGCACTCACATATACACAATTGCCTTGGTTATCTTCCCAGGGATTGACCTCCAAAAAAAGATATATGGTGACAGTCCCACGTCAGAAGAATATCTCAGGGATCCTGCCAAGACACCCTAGAGAATCACAGTTGGAGTAGGCTTCCTAAGGAAACCAGAGTGTATATCAAGGTCTACAATACTGATCTGTATGTAGCCAAAAGCAGGGGAGGTCTGAATTAGCTCTTCCTTAGATTTCCTCCTTGACCTACCTCCCACATACCCACAACACAGCCACCCCACTGCAAGTTCAGGATTGTCAGGCTCTGTCACCTCTGTCCAAAGTACTGAAAACCATCATTTAACCAAAGTATTCAATTCATTTCACCAAACATGTATTCATCTACTACTTTGTGCAAGACGCTATGCTTTAATGTCTATAAAGATGAAAACAAAATGAGGATCTGGGATAAGCAATACGGATTATATAAAAACTGCAAATGGCAAGAATAGACTTCATTGGCATTCTGGTGAAAGTCGTGTGCTGAGAAGGGAAAAAAAAGTGACCTAACTCTAGTTAAAAATGGTTTCATCTACATCTGCGAAAAATGATGATCAATTTATATATCACTTCATTAATTTTTCCAATATTTCTTGAAAATGGTGATGATTCTTCATAGGAATAGCTACAGGCTAAGTTTGAAACTTCTCAAATCAGTTCCTTTTGAATTATTCATAGGAGGAAATCACTCTAGATAACCAGAGAAAGAAAAAACCCAATCTCTTGGTTTCCATAAGTCAAAAATAACTGAATCAATTATTTTTAACTTGAAATGAAATCACACTTTAAAAATATTTCCAATGTTTCTTTCTGATGATTCTCAAGTGGGAGGGGGAACCTTAGAAAACAGAGGGCTCCGATGAAATTCAGCAATTCCTTCAATTTAAATGCCAACTCTATGAAAGCCACTGTTATAGGAGCTGATAGGAACACAAAGGAGAAGAAGGCACATTTCATGCCTTCAAGAAACTTTAAAATCTTGTCTGGGACTTGAAATGCACACAAATAATTACAATGCATATTAGAACAGAAAGTGCCTTCAAAACATGCCATAAAAATAACTGACATTTGTATGGTGCTATATACTGGGTGTTCCAAAAGTTTTCATGTAGTTTTAAGCTGCTGAAGTTTTAATATAAGTTTTTAGTGTACTTTTAAGCTGTTAAAGCTTTATCATAAGCTTTAACAGCTTAAAACAGCACTAAGACTTTTGGAACCCCTGTATATAACATTTGAACCTTACAACAACCCTTTGAGGTAAGTACTAGATGTTTTATTAGTCCCATTTTACATATGGGAAAACTGAGGTCGAGAGAAGTTAAGTTTATTCCCCAAAGTCAGGACCAAGGCTAGTAGGTTCCCAGTGCAAATTTTGAACTTGGTCTCCGTAATGTCCACTACAGTCCTCTATCTCCTGTAGCAAATCACCTCCAATAAAGGGCTATGTTGGTTCAGCCAATAGAGAGGTTACTCCTGGCTACAGAAAACTTGGATGGTTCTATGGAGGAACTAGGTCTTTAAAATGGATAGGATTTGGACAGGTGGATTTGGGGAAGGGAAGAGCATTCTAGATAGAGCGACTAGCATGACAAAAAACTGAAAGGGAAGGATGTTTGGAGGACCCAAATGTTGTATTTTTTTTTGGTTACTATGTGTTTGGTATTGTCCTGATTTCCTCAGAAGACATATCTGTCTACTCAGCTGATTCCATACAATGCTTGACCCATCACTACCAGGAGACACACTGGCAAGGAGTTAGAGCAATGGACTTAGAGTCAACAAAACCTGTGTTCAAATCCTGCCTCAGATACTTACCAGCTTTGTGACTCTGAGCAAATCACTCCTCTGCCTGGGCTTGTTTCCTTGTCTGTAAAATGAGAGTATTGGTTTCAAAAGTCCCTTTCAGCTCTAAATCTATGATCTTATTTTCTATGATACTGTGATCCCAATTCTTATAGGTATTACAATGTCCTTTGTCAACAGGACATAATCACTCCAGGTAAAGACATGTCATGGTCCACTACCACCTTCTCCCAATTAACATTTTCTTTCTATTTCAAGGAACGCAAGTTTCCCAAATTCGTGTCCAAAGAAATGGAGAATATGTACATTGAAGAGTTGAAATCATCAGTCAACTTGCTAATGGCAAACTTGGAAAGTATGCCGGTATCGAAAGGAGGTGAATTCAAGCTTCAGAAACTGAAACGAAGTCATAACACATCAATCATTGACATGGGAGAAGAGAATGAAAACCAACTCTCCAAATCAGACGTTGTGCTGTCCTTCTCCTTGGAGGTAAGAGCCCCAAGAATGCAAGCTCTGGATCAAAGTGGGAAGAACAGTGTGATTGAAATGCAGGACAAATGATACCTTCTGTATCTACTATTAAAATAGGAGCTAGATGGAGCACAGATCAAGCAACTTGAAATTATTTCCTTAGGGCTAGAAAGGATATTTTTGAGGAAATTTTTATTTTTTTTGTTAGGCAATGGGATTAAGTGACTTGCCCAGGGTCACACAGCTAGTAAGTGTTATGTGTCTGAGGCCGGATTTGAACTCAGGTCCTCCTGAATCTAGGGCCAGTGCTCTATCCACTGAGCCACCTAGCTGCCCCTAGGAAATTTTTCAATGTTTTATTATCTTTTGTTTTTATAATCATGTTCATTTCTGAATATATCCCTCCACCCATCCCCTACTCAAGAACTCATCTCTTGGAACAACCAACAAAAAAAAAAAAAACAGAAAAAGAAAGAGGAAAAAACAGTCAGCAAAACCAACCTAACATCAACTAAATATGATGATGTATACAATATTCCACACTCATAGTTCCCCACTTTTGCAAAGAAGTAAAGGAGGGACTTTTTTTCCAATTTTCTTCATGGCCAATCCTCTTAGTCATTATAATTACACAATGCAAACATCAGTTTGAAGGATGCTCTATTAAGGCCAGTCTTCTGCTAGGATTGGAAGGAGTAATTCCAAAGTAGTAAGAAAGTTCTTTGTAAAGTCCTTGATACATTAAATACTTTTAACACTGTAGTAATATGATTTCTAAGCACAATGGAAACAATTCTTAGTTGTTTTGTTAATAATAAGCAGTGAATTTCCTCCTTACAGTTTCTATCCTCCTTATCATAGGACATGATTGATTTCAACTAAGCTAGCCATTGTTTTCTGTATTTCAGTATCTGAAATAAGAAAGCATTGTGTATGTTTGCAAAAATGCAAGGGTTCAATGGCTTGATCACTTATTCTTTTGATTGTATTTCCTTCATTTAATCACTTTCCCTATGAGAGCGAAGTGTATTAGAAATGCTTATTGAATCCCATTTCTGCCAGTTATTGGACATTTGACTCTAGGAAAATCCCTTGGCCTCTCTCAGCCTCAGTTTCCTCATCTGCAAAATGAGGACAATAGAATCTACAGCAGGTCCATCATAGAATTACTATGAGAGCACATATTTAAAGCACTTCTCTAACCATAAAATACTAGATAAATGTCATGGTTATTAAATGCCATTGTTGAATTGTCTTTATCATACCTAAATGATTAAGGATTCAAACTATATTAGGGAGAAAGAAGCAAGAATCCTGTTGGAATAATTTCTACATGTCTAATGTAGAATTTTAAAGGATAAAATTTATTTTGAGGGGAATAGCCATAAGTCATACTGTGAATTAACCACGGGAAACATATTTTCCATATCCAGACCGAATCAGCTTAGTAACATTACAGAATGTTTTCAAAATGCATTTTGCAGTCAGAGGATAAAGGGTTGAATTAAATGTAGAACACTTGGTGTGTGAAAATCTGCAGTCAAATTTCACAGAAACCTTCTTTTTTTTTCAAATGCCACTTCCTGAGCTTCTCTTAGGTGTCTTTGCATTTGATTATTACCAATGAAAGATGACATTTTATCCCTCATTGCCTCCTGCATTCCTGTAGGAAAATTATTGGCTTATTGGTTTTCATAAAGCTTTTCCATTTTCATTTTCCTAGCTCCTTTCTCTGCAGTTACTGATTTTATCAACTCCAGTTCATGCTTGTTTAGATTTTAGACGAGTGTTAGTCCAACAGCTATCCCATGTGGGTATGATTATAACAGCCTTTTAACTTGTAAGTACAAGTACACAAATACCCCAGGGGTCACTCACAACTTTTTAATTAGAAGATTATCAAATAACACATTGTTCAGAAACTGTGTCCAAGAGTGTCTGTGTGCCTGTGTGACTGGAGGGGGGGTTGGGGGATAGGAGAGAATTAATAGATGGACTTTTATGAACACATTCAAAGTAAAGCAAAGGAAAAAGATTAGCACAATGACTGCAACAATGTAAATAGAACAGCAACAAAAAGAAAATGAAACTGAATGTTGTGAATTACTCATTACATATAATATGTATATGATATATACAATATTATATATGAATATATTATATATATAGTAATATCATATGCAAGTACTTTATAAAGGGTAAGATGCCATAGAAATGTGAGATGTTCTATACACGAACACACACACATATGTGATAACAAAGTTTAACCCAAAGTAGAGAAGAAAAAAAATGCATCTGAAGGACTATGAGTGTGAAATATTGCATTTATGTCAGAGTCAGTTGATATGTTAGTTTTGCTGAATCACTCAATTTTTCTCTTTATTTAAACTTACTGTCTTAGAAGGCATGGCTCTCTGGATTCGAAGGGGGCAGGATACACTGAGAAATTAAAGTGATATAAAAATATTACATTGTAATAATTTTAAAAGAATCATCACGTTGCACTACTTGGGAGATAGATAGAAGACTGGTCTTGATTACTTTGTCTACCTAAGCAACAACATTCCCTTAACAGTTGGCAAAGGGCTTTGAGATGTATGCCATTTGGGGATCACTTGAAGAAATTGAGGACATTTAGCGTAGTGGAAAAAGATTTTGTGTGGGAGAAGTCATGAAAACACAGACTTTCAAATATTTGAAATTATCTCTTCCCTGGGAAAGAGACGTGACTTTCATTCTTAGGCCAAGATAGCCAAATCAGAGGCAATCAGTTAAATTTGCCAAGACACAAGTGTAAGCTTGGTGAAAGGAAAAAACTCTTTCCATGTGGACCTATCCAAGAATAGAATTGACTACTTCTCCCTGGTATTCTTCAAGTGAGGGCTAGATGGTCACTTGCTGAAGGAATTATGGGGTGGGAGAGGATTCTCATTCATATATAAGTTGAAATAAATGGCCTTTCCAATTCAAAGATTCTGAAAAAGCACCTACTTGCCCTTGAAGAGTTTGATTCACCAGACCAGGAATGCCAGGGTGCCGACCTTTCTATTTTGATTGTTGAGCCATGAGTGATCTTAGAGGAAAAGAGAGGTGCCTCAGTACTAGAGATATCAAATGTCTATTTCTAATGAAGAAAAGAAGGCAGCTACTTTGATCTATACACCAGTGAACTTAACTTGAATTCCTGGCAAAATTCTAGTATGAATTATTAAAAAGATTTATCAGTCTTGGGAAAGGGAAATATTGATCACTAAGAATCATCATGGGTTCATTAAGAACAGATCATAGCAGACTAAAGTTTTTTTTTTATTTTAACCAAGTTGCTATACAGTTAAATTGTAGAGTTGCTATAGATAGTATCTATTTGAGTTTCAACAAAACATTTGACAAAGTCATGCTATCTTCTTGAATAAGATGAAGTGACGTGGCATCTTGCTGTAGTCAGATGCATTCAAAACTGGTCAGATGTCAAGATCAAAGAGAAGTGACTAATGAAGTGATGTTGACCTAGATAAAGGTCTCTAATGCTGTGCCTCAGGGATCTATTCTTATCTCTGTCTTGTTCAGTTTGTTTTTTTAATCAATGATTTAGATGAAGGTATATAAATGGCACTCCTATCAGGTTGGCAGACAATGTAAATCTGAGACAGGAATTATTAACACATCGACTGTCTGAATTGCAGCCCCAAAATGTCTCAACAGGTTGTAAGAAAAGACAAAAACTAGTAAGATGAAATGGAATTAGAATAAAAAAACATTGTGCTTTTTACAGAAAATTAACTGGAGTATAGTAAGACAATAGTTCATTTGAATAAGGCCAGTGGATTTAATGGATCACCACCTCAATGTGAGTAAACATCATGATATAACAGGCCAAAATGGTGACGCAAATGTAAGCTGCATTATCTAAATTATAATGTGGAGAACAAAGGAAGTGGTCACCTTCAGTACTCTGTCATGGTCAGACTACATCTAGAGTAACATCTTTGGGTGCCACATTTTATGAACATTGCCAAGCTGACATATGTCAAGAGATAGCAACCAGGTTGGGAAGGGGACTAGATGCCATTTGATTTGAGAATCACATGAATGAACTGAGACTGTTTGGCCCAGAAAAGAGACCATTTGGTGGTAGAGTTGAGGAGAGAGGCGAGGGACATAATGCTGCCCGTCAAATGTAGAAAAGGAGTTAGACTTTTCTGTTAGGACCAAAAGGACAAGAATAGGAAAACCATATGGAAGGTTCAAAGAGTTTCAGCTTAACATAAAGAAAAGCTTTGCAGGAATTATAACTGCCTAAAATTAATCTGGTTCTGGATTTCATGGAAAAGCAATACTGATTCACGGCCCGATGCTCATTACTAGGTTACTAACGATATGCAAACCACAAGTAGGGCATACATATATCAAAGAAAGTCACAGAGAAGTGACTAAATGATTTATTGCCTCTGTGGACTCAGAAGAGGAAACAAGTCTCACCAGTAATCAGTGAAACATACCACCTCCAGAGGTAGTAAGATCCTTATCTCTCTGGCTATGAACCAAAGCAAGTCTAGTCTCCTTTTCAAATGACAGCCCTCTTGAAGATACTTGAAGATAGATATCATGAATGAACCTCCTAAGCCTTCTCTTTAGCCTGAGTATCCCCATTTCTTTCAAAACTCATCCTTATAATATGGACAAGAAGAGCCAGCACAATTTGGGTTTCCCTCCTCTGGATGCTTACCAGCCTGTGGTGCCCAAAATGGATGACAGTATCCAGATATGGCTGTTTTGTTATCCTTTGTGCCACAATAATTTCCCATAACATTCATGTATCACAGTTTGTTCAGCAATTCCCTAGTTGATGAACAATCACCTTGTTTCTGATTTTTCTCCTCCTCCTCCAAAGAGTACTGGTACAAATCCTTTTTCATATGTAGACTTTTGTTCCATCATTACCTTCATTAAGGTATATGCTTAGCAGCAGAATCTCTAGGTCAAAAGATGTGAACAGTTTAGTGACTTTTCTTATTCCATACCAATTTTTTTCCAGAATAGTTATGTCAATTAGCCATTCATTCCACTAAACCTTCCAACATGAACTACTGGTTTTTTTTATCATTTTTGCCAGTTTGATTGGCCAAATTTTTTAAGGACCTTTTCTCATTAATATTCTTCCTTATCCCACAGTAGATGCAGGCACCGATATTGGAGATGACTAGTGAATTCTGTGTGTCAATTGTTCTACTGTTTTTCTTTTCCCTTCATAGGTTGTGATCATGGAAGTTCAAGGCCTAAAGTCCTTGGCCCCCAATCGCATTGTGTATTGCACCATGGAGGTAGAAGGAGGAGAAAAACTACAGACAGACCAAGCTGAAGCTTCCAAGCCAACGTAAGTTATGTGCTCTGTGGCTGCCCTTCCAGGGTGCTCTGGGGATAGGAGGTTATTTCGTAGGTGGGCTATGGTGGACTGCAATGCTAGTCGCTACACATTAGGTCTTCTAAGGAATCCTTTCTAACCTCAGATTCGTTTTTAAAGGTAATTTTTGACCACATCATTTTTCATCTGAAAGCTATGGACAAGATGTCTTCTCTTTCAAGGCAGAGAAGACAAAATAGGAAACTCAGTAGCAACACTTTCATCAACCCCATAAGGAAAGGCATCTCTTTTCAAATGGAATACTTTATTTAATATATGGAATACTATTTTCAAATACTTGATTTTATGGAACACTTCAAATGGAATACTTTATTTAAACATCTTAGGAACTGCCTGGTACCACTTTCTTTCCTGAATGTAACTCACCAACAAAAAAAAAATAAATGCAACACTTTTAACCTTAAAAGTTGTTGAATTTATAATTTAAATTTATCATTGTAATTGTTGAATAACATGTGACTATAGCAACATAAAAATATGGGTAAGGCATTTTCCTCTATATGCTACCTACAAAGATATAAATCAATGGGTCAGTCCATCAACAAGCATTTAAGTGCTTGATATGTGCCAGGCACTGATTTCAGCACTGGGGATACAAAGAAAGGCAAAAACACACCCTACAGGAGCTTATACTTTAATGGGGGAGACAACTTTGAAATAGCAAGGTACTGCAAGATACTTCTCATTTAGTGATTGTGGCCTCCCTTTGTATACAACACTCCAACTTCCTACTCTGAGAATTTTGACTGTCTATTCCCCTATGCCTAGAATTCTCTCCCTCTTTGCCTCTGCCTTCTGACTTCCCTGACCACATTCTAAAAGGAGCCTTTCCTGGTCTTCCTCATATCAGTGCCTTCCCACTAAGTCTCCAGTTTACCTTGTGTATATTTCATTTGTACATTGTTTTATGCGTGCTATTTCCTCCCATTAGAGTGTGAACTCCTTGAGGCCAGGGACTATTTTTGCCTTTCTTTGTATCTCCAGAGCTTAGCATGAAGCCTCCCACATAGCAGGCACTTAATCACTGCTTTTTTACTTGACTTGTTCATGAAATTGATGGAAATCTTGGAAGAGAAGGCACTAGCAGCAGGAAGGACTGGGAAAGGCCTCTTATACAGAAGATGGTATTTGAACAGAGTCTTCATGAAAGCCAGGGAAGGTAAGAAGTGAAGATGAGGAGGAAGGGCATTGCAATAATATGGGAACAGCCACTGAAAAGGCACAGACTTAACTGTGGAAGGTTTGGTACTCTGGGCAAAATACATTTGTTTCAGGACATTAATTCAACCATATCTTAAGCACGTTATGTGCTGAAGAGTCCTAGGTGTTGTAGCTGCAAAGGCAAGGTGAAAATGGTCATTGTCTTCAACATTCATTTAGAAAGGTCATGAAAAGATGAAAGGGCATGAACAACTAAGGGGTCAACCCACTAATAGGAATGTATTAAATACTTCCTATTTGCCAGGCATTGTGCTAAGACCTGGGGAACTCTTGCCCAAAGGAGGAAGGCAAAGATTTGCCATAGAAAGTACCACTAGAATTGAGCCTTGAAGGAATCTAAGGATTCTAAGAGGTGAGGAGGAAAAATATTCCAGGAATTATGGACCGCATCTGCAAAGACATAGAGGCAAGTGATGGAATGGTTGATTTGGGGAGCAACAAATAAGCCAGTTATTCTGAAACATAGGGTACGTGAAAAGGAATCATGTAAACTAAGACCACAAAAGTAGGCTGAAACAAGACTATGAGGGGCTTTAAAGGTGAAACTGAGAAGCACTTTTTTTTTTCCTGAAGGCAATAAGGACTCATCAAAGATGTTTGAGTAGGGTAGTGATATGTTCAGAATGGGAGTGTAATAAGATTATGTTAGCAGCTGTGTGGAAGATGGATCTGATATGGGAGAGACAGGAAGCAGAAAGGAGACTTACAATACTCCAGGAAAAAGTTGAGGAGGGATTGAATTAAGATGGTGGCTGCGTCAGTAGAGAGAGGCGATGGGTAGTGGAATTCCTAGATCTTGAAGGTTCTTAAGAGAGGTCATCTAGTCCATCCATCTCTGTGCTTTAGAACTCCAGTTACTTACTCACTATTCCAATCTAATGAGAATTCTATAAGGCTTAAACTTGAACCCTGCCCCAAAGTTATTATTCAATGTGGGAGATCATAAGTAACTGTGTGCTTAAGCAGGAATGACTTGGACAAAGCACTTGATGTCTATCATGCTGATACTGGGACATTGTAATCCATCATAAGTTTATTTCAAGGAGTAAGCCAAGTCCTACTTAATGAGTCAAATTAATGAGTAATTAAGTGGGGAAATGAAATGTAGTTTTTGCTATTTGTTCACACATTTTCAATTCCCTCTCATGCTATTCCAGCTTCAAATTAGCAAGTAGTGAAGTTTCATTTTTTCCCAGTGACAAATTCCCCGTTCCTTAGGCAAGAATGGCATATCCTGGCAGATTTTCTGTGTTATCATGATATGTTGCAGCTACATATTTTGAGGAGTGGGAAAATATTTGGTTCCCATAGTGGTCAATTCATTTAGCTAAGAGCCCTGAAATAATGTTCCAAAGAAAAGAGAGAGAGAGAGAGCTGGGACAGTGTGGGCACACGGCATCCTCATTTGTGTGGAAGTATCTCTGATCCAAGTATTCCAAGATCAATCCATAATAATTCAGTAAGGATCAGGGAAGAAGAGGAAGGCTCAAAGAAGAGGTGAAAGAATAAGGGGAAGGAAGAAGGGGCAAAGAGGTAGAAGAGGAAGAAGAAAAGAAAAGGAGAGGAGAAAGAAGGGGGAAGAATAAAAGGGAGAAGTGGAGAAGGAAGAGGAAGAAGGCAAAGAAGTAAGAAGATAAGAAGGGAGAAGAGGAGTGGAAGGAGAAGAACAGGAAAAGGAGAGGAAAAGCAGGGGAATAGGAGTGATGGGGAAGAAAAGAAAAAGGAGAGGAAGAAGAGAAAGAGAAATAGAGGAAGAAGAGGAGGCAAATATTGTAACATTTATGGGAACCATCTAATATTTGTGAGTTGCTTTACCTATATTATCTCATTTGATACCAAGAGTAAACATAGTTTCTAGTTTGGTCATTTAGTTCAAAATAGTCTTGATAATGTGTTCTCACTTTTATACCATTTTATACAGTTGAACAAATGGAGTGGGGAGTGAGGGTGGGAGAGGGGATCTTTGTCTCTCAGCCAGATTGGAGCTGCCACCACTCTATCAATCATCGAGGTGCTAAGTGTTGGTTGTTTTCATGCATCCCTGTGCCAGGACTCCCTTCTCTGTATTGTTCTTCTCCCCCTCCTTCTTTGCCTCCTCCTCCTCCTTCACTAGCCAAGATTGAGTCTCAAAACATGTGTCTCACTGTGATACTTCCCTGAGAGCACTATTGTAAGGAAGGTGCCTGGTTTCATTTAACACCCCAAATAGAGCAGTCATCTGCCAGTCCTTAAGCGAACACTGATCTGAAGAAGGTAAATCCCCACCTAGGGAGCCATGAGGCAAGTCCTGAATTGGGGCAAAGGGGAGAGAGGAGGTAGGGGCTACATCAAAGTATAAGCTGAAAATCCAGGCCACCCTGGCACAGAGATCCTCGTCAAAATCCAAGGCATTGAGACAGCAGAAAAATCAAATGGCTGGAAGGTTATGTAGGAGGCCATGTTTTCCAAGTCATTTCCCTAGGAATTTGCATTTCTTAGTGTAGGGAATTTTGAACCTTTAACTGCTACGTGTGGAGTTGGCTTTCTCTTATTGCTTCTAAAATTACATGTTTCAATCTTGTAATGTAAAAGGAAAGCATTTTATAAACCTCAAAGTACCGAGTAATTGTCAATGGGAGATAAATGGGCTAAGCATTGGATATAGAATCAGAAAGACCTGAGTTGGAGCCCTTTCCTCTGACACTTGCTAGCTGGGAGATAATAATAAGATAATAGGGATAATAGGCCAGTCACCTCACTCTCAGGGGGCCTCAGTTACCAACTAAATTTCAATATAATGCCATCTGGTAAAACATAACATTTTCATAGGTAATTCAACTACTTTAAGGCAGGCAGTATGGTATAATTAGGAAGAATCTAGATTTGGAATAAGAAAGGCATGGATTCAAATCCCACCTCAAATACTTACAAGCCATGTGAAAGTGGGCAAGTGACTTAACCTCTGGGAGCTTCAGGTAGCCCTCTAGGACTTATCCATTTAGTTAAGTACAGTGTAGGAATACTATCTCTAAAGAAAGATCTAAAGGACTTTTGGCTGCCTGATGGGAAAATGCAAGAAATGAATCAATGTTCTTGCCAACGTACAGAATAAGGAGGAATGATATATGTCACATATATCATTCCTCCTTATTCTGTATATATATATATGTGTGTGTGTGTGTGTGTGTGTATGTGCATGTATATATATATACACATGTATATGTATATATGTATATGTGTGTGTATGTTTATGTATATATATATATATATATATATGACTCAATGATATATAAACATGAAACAATACCCCTTCACACACACAATTCATCCAGTCAGCACTGACCTTCTGGCTTTTCTCTGTACAAAACACTCCATGTCCTTCCTCTATGACTTTGTCCAGGCTTTGCCTCACTCCTAAAGTGTTCTCTCTTCCCCTCTACCTCTAAGAATTCTAGTCTACCTTTAAACACAGTTCCACTGCCAATTCCTACATGAGCTCTTCCCTGATTCCCCTTGTTTTTAAGGCTGTAAACCACTGATTTCACCTCAGAAAAAAATGCAAGCTTTTTAGTATAGAGCCTCTCTTGTTTTTGTTCCTGTATTAGTGAACCAATCATCAAGTATTTCTGAATCACTTACTACATGTAAAGAAGCAGCATTCCATAATGGAATCCAGGAAGACCTGGGTTCAGACATGCCTCTGATATGTAAGAAACTGTGTGATCATGGGCAAGTAACATGATTGTTGAGTG